TTCCTGCTAAGCAGAAGTACTGACAGGAACTTGACCCACCTAAAAGATGGTCCACAGCTTTCTACTTAGATGTCAGGTAACTCCATAGCTCTCCTGTTATCTGTGCTATTCCAAAGGAATAGTCTAGGTACTGACAGCCAGAAATAATATTTTGCTTCTGAATTTCAAACATGGTGTTGCTACTGGTAGCTTTTTAAATCAAGTAAGAATATGCAGTAAATTTCTGTTTTCCATAAAACAAAGCTATCTGGTACTTTAACGTAATAGCTGATTCAAGTTTAGATTTTAAGCATACGACCATTATCACATCTGTCCACTTCAAATACCACAAAGTGTCATTTTTGCCCACCTCAGGCTCAAAAGCAGGGCAAAGTTAAAGAAACAGGCTGTTCTGAAAACACGTCAACCCAAATGTTCTTAGAAGCACGCAGACATTCACAGAATTATTTGATGTTAAGTTTCCTCTTTTGAACTTTCACTCATCCCTACTTTATAGAACACTTCAGTATAATAAATCACATTACAATTAATATGCTGCCACTATCATATCTAATACAGAGAAGTGAGTTTTTCAAAGTCCCAAACTAGGCACTTCTGCCTTAAGGACAGTTACCATAAAACCAACCAGCTAGACAGCTAACCAACAAGGTTCAAGTTAGAAAAGGTGACTCTGTAACAACCATTTCACTCAATCTAGTCCAGTATTAATATGTACACTTGAAGACACTTTATTAAATCACATCCAATATTACTATAGACTAGAATAAGAGAGGTTCAAGATCAGACACATAAACTGTAAAAGAGAGCATTGTCATCCTCCAAACTAAAAGCATACAAAGATCAGCTCTAGTGATGGACATAAAATGGCATAAAATGACATAAAACGAGCCTCTAGATTGGACAAGATTGGTTTAATGTAGCAACCAGTAGGAGCCCATGAAGAACAAATCATGAGAATGGTAAACGCCAGAGGAGTTGGGGGAGGAACAAGGGGGAACATTACCTGACCTATCATCAAGACGCCTATCAAGAGGAACATTAGAAAAAAGACAGAAACCCAGGCTTTGTGAGAAAATGAGCCCTGATAAACCTCAATTAACCATAACCTTCTTAACTAATATTACATTCTTATGACAGAAAGTTTACCCCATTGTCTCTGAAACATGCCGACCCGCTGGTCACATGGTGACTCTGCATTTCAGTACCTCACAGCAACCCAGGACAGCTGTTTGCTCTCACTGGAAGCATTCACTTCCTTGTTTCCTTCTAAAAGACAGAGAAAATTTGCTTATCTGCTGTGGCAGCCTGGCACAAGGCAAGCACTGCTTAAACGTGGCTGACCCTCGGGCGACTCGCCTATCACTAAGCGCTAATAGCGACACTAGCCAGCCTGCAGAGAATCTTCCAGAGCAAGAGGCGGGGAGCACCCCCGCAGCGCCAGCCAATCGCGAGGCGCCGTGGGAATCTGAGCCAATAATAACTGGGCACTCCCTCTCTGCTCCTATGACTGACAGGCGCCGTGGTCGTTGAGGGAGAAAGGCGGCAGGGACGCCATGGCGGGAGGTTGGAGTACTTCAGGGCTCTGATGGCGGCGAAGAAGGGACCGGCCCTGACCCGCGCACCGCCGTCCGCGCCTCCCTCCACCCCCAACGCCGCAGGGCAGGGAAACTGTGTGAGAAGCCTTTAGGCTGATCCTCCCGGCTTCTCTCCCAGGTTGTCCCATCTGTCGTTACCGTTAAATATGTATCTGTGACTAAAAGTGCTTTTGCCTCTGGGCGCAGTTAGCTCTTACGCTGTCAGTTTGGTTTCAAACAGCATCGTTTGGCTCAAAGTCTGTGAGTGATGAGTGCTCCTGTCAGCAGCAGCCCAGGCTGGTGTCTGGTAGCAGCCCTCAACTGATGTGCAGTAGTTACCTATAGGATATATTTTTAAATATAAGAGGTGGTGCTAGTATTAGGCTATGAGCATGCAAATGAAGATGCAAAGCTCAGAGCATAAACCAGTAGGAAATCCTATAGCTGTACCACCACAGAAATAAACAAGACGTGCGTTGGAAGTCAGGTATTTGAAAGAACGGGAATGTGGATCCACGTTTCATGTGGGGCTGAATTTGCAACTCTTGGGGCTTGATTGTGCTGGTTTTCAGAGCTGTGTCACTGTTCTTTGCTTTTTTAATGACATCAACATGCACAGAAGTTTAAAATCTGATGGAAACTTCCCCACGTATTTAGCTCATACAGCTAGTTACTAATGTCCAGGTAGCACTGTGCATGCCTTTATGAGAAAGTTCAGCATCTTTATTGCTGAGGGTTTTGCCATTCCAAGCCAGGTGCTGCAGCTCCTGGAAGGCCAGTGGGTGCCTGGAGCTCAACAGACCGGGTTCCCCAAAAGGGGATTCCAGTGTCCCTGGATTCTGAGTCACTAAATGCAGTGCAATTTTCCACAAATTATCCCAGGACAAAAAATAACATAGCAGTGCAGATGTTTGTATTTGATATGTGTCCTCTGTACCAGAAACTAAAAGCTAAACCTCAATGCTCTTTTCACTGTTTCTTCACTCACAGTCTTGCATTACCAAAAGGTAAGAGTACATAGCTGCCTGGTAATTCACATCTGAAGTTGGTTCACGCACAAAGAAGTTGGTGGAGTCTGCTTTAGCGGAGTCACCTAGTGATGGCTGCATTCACAAGTAAAAAAATTCATAGCACTTTCTGATTGCAAGAGAATTTCTGTAAGTAATACTTATGGTCTTAGAGTGGCTTGTTATGGGAATCAATACTTTCTGGGAAAGGCACAAATTGTGTCCAACAGTCTAATTCACTTGTTACATAACATGATTTATAAATAAGTCACCAAAAGTCAAATACAAGTACTCTTGAAAAACAAATGAAAAATCAATGAGAGTTTACTTTTGAGGCTTCTTCTAATAATCATGTCAATTAAAATATGAATAAAGATACTGTAGAACAGAACACAAAAGTGAATACTGAGATATATTTTAATTAGCTAAGAGTTGTCACCATTTTAAAGATACAGTTTACTAGACAGAATAAAGAGAGAGAAAAGGGAACTGTAAAATTGGAGCCAGACTAGATAAATTGAGTGATAGCATCCTCACCATTTTTAGAAACTTTTTCCAGTCTCAGGTTTTTCCTTTCTTCTTTTGAATGTGTTTGTCTCACTTTGTCTTGAAAATCAGAACATGATTTTAACAGCAGCAGCAGCTCTAGACTTTAATAAACTGATTCTTTTCAATGAAAAATGCAAGTTAATTCTAGATTTATTAGCATACTAAAGGACTATTAAAAAGGGATTTCTGTTATGAAACATTTATACAGATAAAAGAGTATTCTTACAATGAAATCCTAAGTTAATACTTTACATTCAAAGAACTATCTAACTGATAGTTAAGAACTATCTTCCCTTCTTTCTCTGTTTTCCTAACATATAGTTAAAATTAATTTTACTAGTATTTAGGATGAAGCAATAAAACCATCAATAATTTGTGCTGTAATTAGGCAACACTGCAAGCTTAGGGAAGTTATGGTTTAAGAAACTATGAATTTGGATTTTATGGTTCTATCTATATTTTGTATGGTAGAGGTTAACAACTCTTTATCTGTTAGCTCATATTTCATATGAGAGAAAGAAAATACTTTTTTCTCTGTTTGATAGCAGCAAATTTAAAGACTTTCATTCTAATCTTGTAAGGCTGTAAAAATATTTAATCTTAGCCATAACTTTTTCTGTCTCATTTCCACTCCCTGGGAGAGCTTGATCTTATTAAGGGCAATCTTTTGTAATTTGTATGTTGTAGGCCTTCCTGGAGTTTGCCTCTTAATACTCTAATGAAGTTCTGATTCTGAGTATTGAGGGTGCTTGCCTACAGGACTTCAGGAGGCTCCACACCTTTTAATGGTATTGCAAACACCGTACCCACTACCCACATGTATTAAATCTGTTACAATTTATGATGCTGTAGCATGGCTAGGACTTTTCTTCATTCTTGGGATTTCAGCAGCATATTGATGAGACAGGCAATCTCATCAAAAGCTACAAAAAGATTATTTGTGTCTGAAATTTGTCCACAAATGTAATGAATTCTATTTCTTTTTTTCCTGTGTTATTGCAGTTGTGTCATCATTAGGCCACTCTCTTTTTTTCTCCCTCCTTCTCTCTTCACCACTAAAGATGCATCCTTTTCTTCTACTTATGGAATCCCACCCAGGCCCTGGCAGGAACTGGACACAGGAGTGGATTTGTGCAGCCATTGCACCTAGTGGGATGACAGCAAGGGATACTATAAGCCAACAGATAAAAAAAAGAAGAAACTGAAATGCAAAACAGATAGGAATGTGAGGAGACGGTTGTGGACCCTGGAGGGATGTACTGACTTCTTAGGGAGCTTTACATGGGGGAAAGGATAGGAAAGTCAGCTAGAAGATTCAGAGCAATGAGATCATGAAAGTGCATAGTATCTGACAGTAGTGGGATGACAGCAAGGGATACTATAAGCCAACAGATAAAAAAAAGAAGAAACTGAAATGCAAAACAGATAGGAATGTGAGGAGACGGTTGTGGACCCTGGAGGGATGTACTGAATTCTTAGGGAGCTTTACATGGGGGAAAGGATAGGAAAGTCAGCTAGGGAACTGAAGATTCAGACCAATGAGATCATGAAAGTGCATAGCATCTGACAGTCTTTTTTAGCGTTTGTAGATCTTTAGCAAATCTAATTTTGATCAACTGTTAATGGGTCAAATTGTGAAATGAGGGATGCTGTGGAGAAATGCATTTTTTGCATGTTGGAAGAAAAAGGCTGAAAGCACTGTGAGAACTCTGGACTTAGGAGATCACCATAGTGTATTTCCCACCAGCCATCTCAGACACATAAAATTAGGACCGTGGTTTGTCAAGACACATATGCAAGATCCCTACTCTCCTTTTTTCACCTACAGTGTCATCTTTTTTTTGTTCTGGAGGTATAGCAACAGTATGTGAAATAATTTTAAGATGCCACTATCTGGAAAATATAAACATGTATGCACATACAGCAACTCTATTTGTTAAACAGAAAACAGGAAACTGGTTCTCTCAATGCAGTTATCCAAAGAATATATTACCATTAAATATTACACTCACAAATTACTTGTTTTTCAAGAATTCCCCAAAATTTTCTGCTTCATCATTAAGAAAGCACAGTAACCAATTCCAGGGTCCTCTTTCTACAAAACTTTGGTATGCAATGCTTGCTGAAACTTGTTCCGCTCATTTGTAACAATATAGTTTCAAAATAATATCTTAAACCAGAGGAAGAATGGGATGGAGAGGGCATTTTTGCATGTACAGCATAGTTTTAATTAAAATATTTTCTTAACGATATTGAGATACAACAGAGCAGAGACATATCTATTATCTAAAAAAAATAGATTTAAAATTCTTTTTACTTTATATATCTTGCTAAATTCTATGTTTGGATATTTCACTTTGATTACATGCCTAGAGGAAAGTAAAACTGATGCAGCAGCATCATAAGTTGATGCAACAGGATATTTAATATTTGATATTAAAACAGTATTATATGGGCGTAGTTGATTTTGTTTTCTTTCTCTTAATTTTAAAAGAAAACTCTAGTATTTTCTTTTAAAAAATGTAGTATGAGTGTACAAGCATGTCTTAAAAGGCCCAAAGCTCCTAGTCCTCCAGTTATGAGGTGAAAACTGAGTAAGTTGAGTCCCATACTGGATTCTTCCATTACTGACACAGAAGCTTAATATATTAAGGACCAATTATTTTATACTGCTGACCCAGACTTGAGGCTGAGCTCTCTAAAAAGGGAAGCATACATCTGGGACACTGTAGAAGCAAGTGTAAGAATTTTTTCTTGGATTTCACTTGCCGTCAAAGTGAAGTCAATGTAATCCAGCATGGAAAGGGTATAACTTACTTTCTCATTAGTAAGAATTCACATGCCAGCATAGGTGTAAAGAAGGTAGAGATAGGCTGTTGTAGTCATGAGTAAGTTACCGTTGCAAAATTTATACCAAGAGTAATTGCATAGTTGCAGAATTGTTTAAAATACAAATGTAAATAAATTATTTTTCTCTGATTAAATGATTGTTTCTGGAAAGTGTATAAAGAGTTAGAAAATATCACTGCTTAAGAATGCTAAACATTGAAAGTTATTTTAAAAATAAAAATGGTTTCAAGAATTGCTCTTCCTTTTATTTTCATTTGCATAATGGGTATATAGTCTTCTGAAAGATAATACAGCAGAAGAAGACAAAGCAGAGCTCTGTAACATTCTGTACATTGAGAAATCATGAGATTATGAAGTGCACCAGAGTATCTTGCTGTTTTGGTATTTCATTAAACGTGCATACTGTGAACGAGAATAAAGAATATTTGTTTACTGATATGTATGGAAAAAGCCAGCATAAGCACTATTCTGGATTAATTCCCACCATTGTCCTCAATAATAGATGAAGAAGGAGGTCTCAATTTTATAAGGCAAACAGGATGGTGCTTATTTAGAATACAAACCCTTAATTCATAATGAATTGTCTCTTAATTTAAAAATTAAGATGAGAAACAGACTGGGATCATTATCTAAAATTTTAAAAAACTAAGTTTTTTAATAAAAAATTCAGAGTGGCCATTCTTTTAGTAAGCAATTACAGAACAAACAAAAGTAACTGTACACACACACAGAATCTTTCTGGGAGATAATGACTTTCTGCTCATGTTTAGTTATTCCAGAAATATATCAAGATTCCTTCTGTGTACTCCTTTCCTTGTGAAAAGCATAGATATATTTAGGAGAAGGAAGAAAGAAGCTCATTTGCCACCTAAATGCCTGAAAAGCCAAACGGGAGGGGCTTACGTTCATATTAATAAATAGTGGCATTTTGCAGGACAGTACAGAACTGAATTTGAAAGATTCTATAGGCAAGGATAAAGCAGTGTTATGCATTAGGGGTATGTGAGCAAACAAGAATCAAGTCTAGAAGTAGGTCAAGAAGTGTGAAAATTGCCAGGGATGCAATGAAAGAGGAGATGGCTGTTGTTATTCCAAGCAAGAACAGTGTGAAATAACAAAAGAGAGCAAACTGGACTAATTGCTTTCTCTTCTTTTTCCTCCCTCAACACATGATTCAGTCAGAAGAAACCTAGGTTTCTACTAGTAAAATGGTAAATAAAATTTGGTAACCTAAGGGCAGTGCAGACAAGGATAGAGGAGATGCAACTGCTTGAGTTATCTCACAGGAACAGGTTTCAGATTTTGGGGGGAGAGGAGAAGCTCATAATCTGCCTGCTGAATTCAGCTCTGCATAGATGTGTGGTTTTAATGCTACAGATAAGACAATCACATAGTGACTTAGGATGATAAGTCTTTGCTGTTTTAATACAGGGATCCTAGAAGAGGAAGACAGTATCTCTAAGCATTCAAATGTAAAAATTACTGTTATTATATTAAAAAAATGTAGCTTCAATCTCACTGATAATTACAGTTATTTTTATTTTATCTTTCTAAAAGAAGAAACTTCCTCTCTTTCCTCCATCTTTCCATTGACGTTGAAATTTTTAACAAGAGCAATGCAGTGGGACAAGGATGTATTTTCTTTCACATCTCTGCCAAACTAGTGACTTTGAACTAGTCTGAAGTAACAGCTATGT